TTAAGGGGTTTTTTTTGCCCCAGAAAAGGCACAAATTGAGCTCAGACCATTTTCTCTCCTCGAGAAAGGAGTGAAACATGTGGAATTTGGGTGGATTAAGGCTCCATTCCCAGCCAGATCCGTAACTCCTGCTGGGATCAGTGAGACTATCCCATCTCCCACCCCCTGGAAAACGTGGCTCTGCTATTTTCTATTTTGCCTGTTGTATTTTTATACTTTTCTGGATAAATTTAGCAATTTTTTTTTGTTTGTTTCTTTCAGCTGAGCCACCTATTTTTAGCCATGGCTTTTAGCAAAAGATGCCTGGCAAAGCCATCCAGCCCCTCACAAGGGGTTCCCACGCTCCAGGAGCAGTTTTATTCCCAGTTATCCCCTCTGGATGCTGCATCCTGCCTGGTTTGGGGGAGGAAAAGGCAATTTTTGGGAGAGCCTGCTTGTCTCAGTGGGGATTCAGCGAGCTGGGATGGGCTCAGCTCTTGGGAAGTGCCGGGACAAGGAAAAATCCCAATGTGAATGAGATTTGGGACAAATCCCTCTATTGAAATACCCAGCCTGGACCAAAAAAAAACATTTTCTGGACCAAAAAAACCCCTTTTCTGGACCAAAAAACAACAAAAAAAGCACTTTTCTGGACCAACCCCCCCCCCCCTTTTCTGGACAAAAACCCCCACTTTTCTGGACCAAAAATAAACCTTTTCTGGACCAAAAACCCCCTTTTTGGACCAAAAACCCCCTTTTCTGGACCAAAACCCAACCTTTTCTGAACATAAAAAAAACCCTTTTCTGGACCAAAAAACCACTCTTTTCTGGACCAAAAAGCAAACAAAAAAAACATTTTCTGGACAAAAACCCCCACCTTTTCTGACCAAAAAAAATACCTTTTCTGCACCAAAAAAACCACCACATTTTCTAGACCAAAAAAAAACCCCCTTTTCTGAACATAAAAAAAACCCTTTTCTGGACCAAAAAACAAACAAAAAAAAAATTTTCTGGACAAAAACCCCCACCTTTTCTGGACAAAAAAAAAACCCTTTTCTGACCAAAAAAACCCCATTTTCTGAACCCAAACCCCCCCTGCCTGGTAAGAACCATCCTGATCCCTGCTCTCCCCAAAATCCTGCCTGTCCCAGTGGGATTCACCCACTTTGCTGGAGCCAAGTGGAAAATGCTGGTGCATCAGGGATGGAAAATACGACTTTTTTTTGAAAGCAAGGAGCAGAGAGGCTGCTGCTTTCACCCCAAAAAGGAGCTGGTTTTGGGGTGGGTGATGCCGCTTTATTTGTTTTATTGTTTATTAAAATTTTATCTATTTAAAATTGAATTTTAAAATTTTAAAATCGTAAAGTTTGGGTTGGATCATAAAATAAATATATGAAATCATAAACCTGTGGGGTGGTTCGGGTTGGAAGGGATTTAAAGCTCATCTTTTTCCACCCCTTGCCATGCACAGGGACACCTTCCATTATCCCAGGTGGCTCCAAGCTCCATCCAACCTGGCCTTGGGCACTTCCAGGGATGGGAAAATGCCATTTTTTTTAAACATTTAGCAGAATTCCAATCTCCACCCCCGTGGACCTTGAGCTAAAACCCAACTAAGAGAGGAGAAAGAGCTGCTGGGGGCGGTTAAGCTCCGATCCCATGGGTTTGGAGCTGGAGCTGGTGATGGATCCTGTACCCGGCACGAGGATTTCAGGATCCTCTCTGCTCCTCAGCCTCTCAGCTCTGTGCAAAGCAGGCAGCAGCTGGCACTGACGAGGAGCTGCCAAACGAAGCTTAATTAGTCCTGCAAGCAGAGCTGGCAGCTGTGGAGAGCCCAGGTTGGCAGGGAGGGATGGGATGGCAGCTCAGCACCCAGAAATGCTCCTTTTGCAGGGGCTGCTTTGGGCTGGATGTGCCATTTGGTGTGGAAACGCATCCAGGGATGCAGCTGGGTGGGATTGGCAGGGATGGAGGAGGGCTGGGTGTCCCTTGGCCAGGAGCAGTAGTGGCTTTTAGCTCAGAGCATTTCAAACCTCAGTCTCATCCCATCAAGCTGCTCCACATCCACATCTGTTGAAGGTTTGGGCAAAGCTGGAATGAGTAGACACAACTTCAGCAGCTTCATTCAGGGGTGTGCCTCGCTGTTTGCCCGCCTAAATCCCAATTTTTGGTGCCTGTTTGGGCTGGGTGCTGCCAGTGACAGAACAAAAATGTCACTGAGGTGTACCAAAGCCTCTTCCTCCAGCAGACAGCCACGAACCAGGTGGGTTTTTGGAGCTTAGGGACCAACTTGCAAAAATCTGCAGCAAAATTTTCATGTCCAGACTTTTATTGCCAGCGTTTTTTCATGGAATTCGTGGGCAGGGACACGTTCCCCTATCCCAGGGTGCTCCAAGCCCTGTCCAGCCTGGCTTTGGACACTTGGCTCAGCTTTTCTGGGGAGCCTGTGCCAGGCTCTCACCACCCTCAGAGGGAAGAGATTCAAGCCAAGCCAAGCTGCTGGAGCATCCTCCTCTCCTTCAACCCCCAGTTCCTCTTTACTCATTTCAGCCACCCCAGAAAGGATCCTCAGATCCGGGGGGGGGAAATGCCGAAATATTTGAGCGTGGCGTTTAGAAGGAAGTTGATTTTCCAGGTGTTGTGTTTCCTAGCAGGGACATCCCCCGGGGAATGGGAACTTCCAGATCCAGGATTGGAGATGTGATGGATGCAGAGAGCCTGCCTGACCCCATTTGGGGAATTTGGGTGTTCCCAGGGTGGTGGAGTGATGGCAGCCCTTGGATTCCAGGTCACTCTGTGCCAGCATGATCCCAATTAATCTCCAGCTCTCCCTCCATCAGAGCTCAGCAAAATCCCGAGAGTGAAACTGAAAACCACCCAACGTTTCCTGGTCATGCCATTATCACAGGAGCTCGTGCTGAGCTCTGCCTGCACTGGAAGGAGTTTCATGGCATTCCCAAGGGAATTCAGGCTGTGCCTTATTTCCCTCACTCAATGGCACACGTGTGTGCCTGGATAATGGGATTCCTGCCTTGGAGCCCACAGGTTAATGAGTCCTTCCTCGTTATTTTCATGCTGATGATGTTGAACAGGGCCAGGACATGGATGTTGTCTCTTTTGGGCTGTAGTTACAGCTCGGGATCCTGCCAGGTTGTTTTGGTGTTTTTCTGTTGGGCGTGGAAAGGGTTGGATTTGTTTAAAGGGGTGCAAAAAGCTGGAGAGGGGCTTTGGACAGGACACAGGGAATGGCTTCCCACTGCCAGAGGGATGGATGGGATATTGGGAATTCCTGGCTGCGAGGGTGGGGAGGGACTGGAGTGAATTTCCCAGAGAAGCTGCCCCTGGATCCCTGGAAGTGTCCAAGGCTGGAGCTTGGAGAAACCTGGGATAGGGGAAGGGGTCCCTGCCATGGGATGGGATGGGCTGGGATGGGATGGGAGGGGATGGGATGGGATGGGCTGGGATGGGATGGGAGGGGATGGGATGGGATGGGCTGGGATGGGATGGGAGGGGATGGGATGGGATGGGATGGGATTTAAGGTCCATTCCAACCCAAACAATTCCACCTCTCTATGATAAACACAATCCAAACAAAACAAAACCCATGGAATTTTGGGTTCCACACCTTCCCGGGGACACAGTGGGATCCTCTCTTTGGGATTTAAAAGCTGCTTTTGTGGCTGCCCCTTGGAGCAGCTCCACCGGGGCTGCTTTCCGGGGTGGGACTTTCACCAGCTCACTTTGCAGTGTCACCTGCTGCTTTTGTTTTTAGTTTTGTTATTCGTGGTGGAGGAAACGCCCCAGGTTTCCCCAGGGGTGGAAATGCTCCAAAACCATCGCTGGCCCCAAACTGGTTCTCACTTGAAGCACCTGAGGGTGTGGTGGCTCCTGGTGGCTCTGAGTTGCCCCAGAGGTCTCAACCTTGTCCCAGCAAGCTGGTGACCCCTCCCAGGAGGGTCCCACTCTTCCCTCTCCGTATTTTTGGGGCTGTTTTCCCCATTTTTGTGTCCCTGGGGATGGCTTTCCTTGCAGGAGGGTTGGATATACAGAATTATTTAAAGGATCAGGGCTCTAACAGCCATACAGATGCTCTCAGCCGTCCTCCCTGCTCCCATGGATCCCAAACATGGAATGAATGAGGTCCCTGAAGTGATTCCCTGCCGCTGGAGCAGCTCCTTTGTATGAAAGGGCACAGCATGGAATTGTTTAGGCTGGAAAAGCCCTCTGAGATCGAGTCCTCAGCACTGCCAACCCCACCACCAACCCCTGTCCCCACAAGTGCCACATCCAGACACTTCTGGAACACTTCCAGGGGTGACATTTGCTGCCTCTGTGGCACCCAAACCAGGCAGCAGCAGCAGCTTGGAACCTGCTCCAGAGCCCTGGAGTTCTGGTGACCTCAAACAGAAACCTTGGAGTTCTGGTGACCTCAAACAGAAACCTTGGAGTTCTGGTGACCTCAAACAGAAACCTTGGAGTTCTGGTGAAAGGCTGGACCTTTCCCAGCTGCTGTGCCAGAACCACGGCACATTCCAGGGCTTTGCAGGGAAAGGAGGAGCAGGAGGGATGAGCCCTGCTGCTCAAACCCTTCTCCAGCCGTGAAAAAAGAGCGGGGAGAGATGAGCTAAACCCCCAGGGAAACAACCCACGGGCTGAGCTGAACCTCCAGCGATGGCACCGAGGGGAGCAGATCCAGCCAGGAGCTCGGGCTGGCACTGGGAGCTGGGCTGGAGCGTTTTGGCAGCATTTCCCATGAGATGCTCCTTCCAGCCCAGCACCAGGGAGTTAAATCCTGGCCCTGTGCATCCTCCAGCCCTGGGCTACTTGCCCGCTGACTGAAACCTCTTCCTGTGCTGCAAACCTCGCTGAATGCAAACAAAAACTGTCCCCGGGGGCTGGGCTTGCAGGGCTCAGGGTGGGAGCTACACAGAAGGAGCCTGGGGATGTCTGTGAGGGTCCCTGGTGCTGTAAATGATGGACCCATGGAGCTGAGTTTTGTTTTCTGTTCTCTTTATTTGAAGGCAGTGAAGGGCCAAGAGGAGCAGAGCTTCCCTTAGAGGCACAAATCACCCGAGAGATCGGCTTCTGGTAAAAAACAGCCCCACCTTGTGCTCCCCTCCTCATCCTCAAACCTGGCATGACTCCTCCTCCAAGCACAGGCACCACTGCCAGGCTGATTCTTTCTCTAAACCCATAAATCCCTCTCTCCAAGCGCTCTAACCCCCCTGAGATCATCTTGAGCTGGGCATGCCCTCATCTTTTCCTTAAAACACCACAATTCCCTTATTTTAGGGCTCGTCCCATCGCCCAGGGGTCTCGCTGTGTCCCGCTATTGCAAAATAAAATCCCATTTTGGAGCTGGCAGGCAGCTCCAGGCAGGCAGGAGCTCTGCTGGAAAACACTTGCTGCTGGAGGAGCTGGATGCTGGGATTCTGCTGCCTCTGCCAGAGCTCTCTGCTGCTAGAAAGTGCCGGAAAAACATCCGGGATCCAGCCTGCCGTGGCCTTAATGAGCATCCCCCGCCTGCCTGGGGTGGAAATCTCGAGAAACAGGAAACTCCAGCATCCTGTTTAGCATCTCAATGTGCAAATTGGCAGCAGGGACACGGCCAGGGGAGGCTGAGGGACACTGGACACACGCTGGGCAGCGGCTGGGTGATGGGCAGGGAATGAGTCTGGCACGGAAATCCCGTTCCTGGATTTTTGTGGCTGTTGGCGGGCTTTGATGGAAGAGCAAAGCGCAAAGCGCAGCTCAGCTGGGGTCCTGCTGGGCTCTGCACAGTCCCAGTGTCACCCCAGTGCCACCCCAGTGCCACCCCAGTGCCACCCCAGTGTCACCCCAGTGTCACCCCAGTGCCACCCCATTGCCACCCCAGTGCCATCCCTGCCCTGGGGACAGTGGGGAGGACACCGTGTCCCTGCCCTGGGTCATCATCTGCCATCCTCACCCCTCATTTTGACGGCTCTAACGCGGCCTCAGCCCATCCCCTGGGGTCCTGCAGGGCTGGGAGCATCCCAGCGGCTGATCCCGCTGTTTTCCTGCCCACAGCCCATCCCGGGAGCGCTCCTGGCCTGCCCATGGCTAGCAACAACACTGCTAGCATAGCACAAGCCCGCAAGCTGGTGGAGCAGCTGAAGATGGAGGCCAACATCGACAGGATAAAGGTTGGGATGCTTGGGAGCCGCCTCTGGGAGTGCTGGGAGGTGGTGGCTGCTGGCCAAAGCTCGTGGAGGGAGCTGGGATGCGGAACCAGGCGGTGTTTGTGGGGGATTCTCTTATTTTAAGTGATCTTGAGGGCCCTGGCTGAAGGCAGCGGGAGCTGGGATCGCAGAATCCGGGAATGGTTTGGGCTGGAGGAGACCTTAAAGCCCTTCTCGCTCCATCCTCCTGCCAGGGACACCTTCCACCATCCCAGGCTGCTCCAAGCCCCATCCTGGACGCTCCCAGGGGTGGGAGGCAGCTGGAAGCATCACCTGGAGCCCCGCCGGGTGGTGGGAAGGAGTGACTGTCCCCAGAACATCTCAGCTCCTTGCCAAGAGCTTAAATCCAGGGAGAGAAGTGCTCCAGGGCTGGGATGAGCTCCGGTGGCCTGGGAGCTGCTGCCATGCATTTTTGGGGCTGTTTTCCCCATTTTTGTGTCCCTGGGGATGGCTTTCCTTGCAGGAGGGTTGGATATACAGAATTATTTAAAGGATCAGGGCTCTAACAGCCATACAGATGCTCTCAGCCGTCCTCCCTGCTCCCATGGATCCCAAACATGGAATGAATGAGGTCCCTGAAGTGATTCCCTGCCGCTGGAGCAGCTCCTTTGTATGAAAGGGAGTATGAAAACTCCACCACGGAATGCTGCTCCGTGGTGGGATAAAGAGCGAGGCTGGTGGGTGAGGGCAGGAAATTCCTGCCAAGGGATGCTAAAGTCAGTCCTTGTCTGGTTCAGGAGAGGAATGGGGGAAGGCTGGGAAGGCTGGGAATGGGAATACAGCCAGCTCAGAGCCCAGAGGTGAAGAACCAGCCCGGAACCAGCCCCAGCAGGGCCGCGCTGCTCCGTCCTCATCTCAGATCCGATATTCCCTGCCCGGGGATGCTGCCAGCCCTTCCCTGCTGGTGATACCTCTGCAGGTGGGATGTCCCCAGCACAGCCTGGCCCTGACACGGGGCTCCTCCTTTTGCAGGTGTCCAAAGCAGCAGCAGACCTGATGGCGTACTGCGAAGCCCACGCCAAGGAGGACCCTCTATTGACCCCCGTCCCGGCCTCAGAAAACCCCTTTAGAGAGAAGAAGTTCTTCTGTGTGATCCTGTAAACCCTGGAGGAGCCTGACGGGCACTCAGGCCACCCTGAACACTGATGTAGAGTTTTTAGGAATGGGGACGACCTGCTGGTCCGCAGAATTTAAACAAAAATAAGTTAAAAAAACACGGCCTGGAAGCTACAGAGATGTGCATGTTTAAAGAACCTGGCCACCTTTGGGGGAATCAGATGATCTGCATTGCCAGGCAAAAGATCTGAAGTCTGTAGAGTTGCCTAGAAAGAGAAAAACAAACAAACCAACAAAAAAAACCCCGTGTAAAGAATAAATCTGTGTCACTTTTCTGCTCACAAAATTGTTCGATTGTTCCATATTTAAAGCACCAGAGCTGTGCTGAGCAAAGTTAACTGCTAAGGATGTGTAAAAACCTTCTTGGAATGATGTTGTTGGTTTCTTTCCAAGCTAATAATTTTGATTTGTCGGATATATAGCGACAGGTTCGGTGGCTGTGCTGTTACTCAATGTTTGGTCTTGTGCTTTTTTCATTTCTGGCTGTAGCGTAGCAGGGGAGGGGTCCAGGGGACAGCGGCAGCTCCGTGTCCCCAGCAAACCCCGCTTTTTACCATTCTCTCTATGGTTAGCTTTGGTTCTGCAAGTAAAAGTGATTCCTGTGTCGTGCTTGGTGCTTCATGGCCCTGTGATGACATTCAGTGGTAGTGCATGAGAGTTTAATTCCGTTCATCCGCTCCAGACTTTGCTTTTCTAGCGTTTGGCACCACGTGCTGGTGGAAGGAGCCGTAGGGAGGAGACAGAGGCGATTCTGAAAGCAAAGAGAGCTCCTGAGATGCCTTAGATGTGCCTGAAATACCTCCTGCTCTAGGGCAGGTGCCAGCCCGGGTGCAGGGCGAGCCAGAAATCCCAAAATCAAAGTCGACCACTTCTTTCCGGGTCTTTCCTTTCTCCTACACCTCCGTGCCTCTGCCCTCCTCGCTCGGTCCCGCTCTTTTCCCCGTTCCTGGTAGCGTTTCCTTCCCTTGGGGATGGTCTGGAATGTTGCTGGCGTGTTGTTCAGTGCTGGGATGCTGCTTTGTGGTGGGATGCTGCTTCAGGGTGGGGTACAGCCCCATGGTGGGATGCTGCTCCTCCATGGAATGCTGTTCCACGATGGGATACAGCTCCATGGTGGGATGCTGCTCCTCCATGGAATGCTGTTCCACGATGGGATACAGCTCCATGGTGGGATGCTGCTCCTCCATGGAATGCTGCTCCATGACGGGATACAGCTCCACGACGGGATACAGCTCCACAATGGGATGCTGCACCTCCATGGGATGCTGTCCCACCATGGGATGCTGCTCCATGGTGAGATGTTGCTCCATGGTGGGATGCTGCTCCTCCATGGAATGCTGCTCCATGACGGGATACAGTTCCATGGTGGGATGCTGCTCCTTCATGGAATGCTGCTCCTCCATGGAATGCTGCTCCATGGTAGGATGCTGCTTCTCCATGGGATGTTGCTCCATGGTGAGATGCTCTTCCATGGTGGGATGCTACTCCACCATGGAATGCTGCCCCATGGTGGGATGCTGCTCCACCATGGGATGCTGCTCCACCATGGAATATTGCTCCTCCATGGAATGCTGCTGTTCCACGGTGAGATGTTGCTCCTCCATGGAATGCTGCTCCTCCATGGGATGTTGCTCCATGGTGGGATACAGCCCCATGGTGGGATGTTACTCCAAAACGGGATGCTACTCCATAGAGGGATTCTGCCCCTCCATGGAATGCTGCCCCTCCAGGGGATGCTGCCCCTCCATGGAATGCTGTCCCTCCATGGGATGCTGCTCCATGGTGGGATACAGCTCCATGGCAGGACACTGCTCCTCCATAGGATGCTGTCCCACCACAGGATGCTGCCCCACCATGGGATGCTGCTTTACGTTGGGATGTTCCCACCCCTTCCTGCCCCCACCTCCTCTCCCATTCCCGTTCCCGCTGCCCCCTCACCCCGTTGGGAAGGGCCAGGGGAGCAGCCCTGGGAGCCGTGGGGCTGCCCCTTCCCAGAGGTGCCTGATTCCCTGTTTACACACGGCCTGGGCTCCGTGCCAGGCTGGGGAGTTATTCCCAGGTCTGCTTCATCTTCTCCCGGCTCTCGGGGGACACACGCCACCTTTCTGGGCTCCTCCTGGGGTCCACGCTTTTGTGGATGTGGCTTGTCTCTCCTTCCTGCTGCTAAACACCTCCTGGCTTTCCCTGCCCATCTGTCCTCCTGGGAAACTTTGGGAATCGTCACTCTGGGAATCACGACATGGGGATTTATGTACAAAACGAGCTGGGTGTCACAAAGGGGTTTGGGGGTCTGCGCTGACCCCGCTGAACCGCTTCTGAATCAGGTGTGAGCTTAAAAATCCCTGTGGACCCGGGAGGGCAAGAAGTCTTTCTGTACCTTTTGGTAACTCTTTCTAGCCCGTAAAAAATAGTGCTTTTTTTGTTTTTTCTACCTTTTCATACTCTTTTTCTAGTTCTTCTACAGAGAAGGCCAGTTCTTCTCGCTGGACTCCAAACTTTTGGCACCTGGGAATGTTTATAAACCACGAGTAGCCTAGATGGTCCCAGCCCCCACTAATTCCCCCAATTTTGATCTTTTTACTACAGCTCCCGTAGCTTTAGGATGAGGGGTGGATGAAGTGGTTTTCTCTGCAGCTGGTTTCACTCTTGGTGTTATCAGGCAGAGATATAAAAACCCCATCCTGAGTTTTATCTTTTCTTTTTAATCAGATTTGTTGTCACAGAGAGAGTGAAGCGCAGCCGGTCTGACCCGGGGCTCCCACCCCACCCCTTCTCAAAAACCCTCACAAAAGTGGTTTGTAATAAATTTTTTTAACGACTTGCCTGTTTTACAACTCGAATTCTTAATAACTTAGACGACAAAATAAACCTGCATGAATACAGGGGAGCGGGGAGGGGGAAGATTTTCAATTAACCCAAACTACTCATTGAAGGTGTTTTACGTTGCTGGCCTTGATTTCCTGTTGGTTTTGCTGTTGCCATTGGTGTGCTGCCAGGTATTTCCCCCCAGTATTTCTATTTACACAGATCTGCCTTTGTTAGCCTGCCAAGGTTGTTTCCCCTCCTCAAAACAAAAAAATCCCACCCATCCCTCCATCCCCATGCTGGATTTCCAGCCTGGTCTCAAACGACATTCCACTGCCCCCAAGGCTTTTAAAGAAAATAAAATCTGGAGTACTGGAAAAAAAGGACTTTTATTGTCTGCAAAGGTTGCTGGTGGCGAGTCTGTCCATGGGCTGCCATCCTGCCAGCAGCAGGATTTTGGGGAGGGGGTGGTTGTAGGCGAAAGCCAGTCGTGGTGTAGCGCATCCCCATCCCACATGGTCTGTGTACTCGTTGGAAATAAACTTTTTGGATTTGTTTCAAGCCTTTGGAGATGCTGCTCTCTGCGTGCCGGCCCCTGGGGAGGTGGGATCCCGTCTGGGTTGTGGTTGGATGCAGTTCCCAAGGGGGTCTCCCTGCCAGGGAGGGTTCAGCAGGAGCTTTGGTGCCTCTTAGGGTGGGAAGTGAAACCTCTTGGGGTTTCAGCAGTTTTTGTTCCCACAGGACAAGGCAGGTCAGGGAAGGTCAGGGTGGGACATTGCTCCTTGCTCAGAAATTGAGAGACACCTAAAATTTCCAATTTCAGTGTCCATCCCTTCTCCCCTCTCTTTCCTTCTCCCTGACACTCAGCACAAATCCAGAGGAGGCCACAGAGCTGCTCCAAGGGCTGAGCCCCTCTGCTCTGCAGCCAGGCTGGGAGAGCTGGGAATGTTCACCTGGAGAAGCTCCAGGGAAACCTCAGAGCCCCTTCCAGGGTCTACAGGAACCTCCTAAAGAAGGACAGATTTTTATGGGATCTGGAGAGACGTCAAAAATTGTTTTAAACTAAAAGAGGGTTGATTCAGACTCAGATATAAGGAAGAATTTTTTAATGAGGAGGGTGGGGAGGCACAGGGTGCCCAGAGCAGCTGTGGCTGCCCCTGGATCCCTGGAAGTGTCCAAGACCAGGCTGGATGGGGCTTGGAGCAGCCTGGGATAGTGGAAGGTGTCCCTGCTACGGCAGGGGTGGAACTGGATGGGCTTTGAATCCTTTCCAACCCAAACCATTCCAGGATTTCGATTCCATTTTGTGATCTTTCCTTCTTCTACTACCAAAACACCTCCTGATCACAGGATCAAACTGTTCCTACCAAATTCCCCACATCCTGAATTTTCCCTTCAGCTTCACAGGACCCTCAGGCTTGAGTGTTTTCCCACCGGGAAAATTTTTTTCCCACTGGACACATTTTGAGGCTGCTTGGCCTCAGCTCATTCCTGGGGTCTGGAACAAGGTGGCACCGTGGCTTCTGAAATAAAACCACCAACCCCGAGCCCAGCATGGATCTGTGCCGACATTCCAGCTTTCCAAGCATCCTGACAAGCAGCAAGACCAACTCCCAGCCCTTCCATCCTTCCCCGTGTCCATCAGAGCAGCTTCAAAGCGAAATGGTGTCTCTGGGGAGGAAGGAGTCAAGTCTCTCCTCGCCTGCCAGGCAGCTCGGCTGTTCCCTGGCTCCTCTCCAGCTCCAACGCTTGCTCCCTTCCATCCTCACCTCCCCAGGCTTCAGCTCTGGAGCAGCAGCAGCTCGGAGCCAGCAGCATCTGCCGAGCAGGAGGAGGTGTGGAGCTTCCACGGAGAGCGTGGGCGAGACGCTGCTCCCGCCGGAGTCGGGCTCTGCCCGGCTCCCTAATGAGAATAAACCCGTCTGCGCTAATTGCGTTCATTAGCTCTGCAGCGGGGAGAGGAGAAGCACAGCTCATCTCCTGGCTGTGGGTTTGTCCCGTGTGCCGCTGCAGGAAGGGTTGTTCCCAAAAGGACTCCACCAGGCAGTGGGGGGGATCCCCAAATCCGGGCTGGAATCCAAGGGTGATGAAGGCAGCAGGGGTGGAGAGCGGAGGTGTCACTGCCTCCGTCCTCGTCACTCGTGGTGCCGGGGACAGTGTGTGACACTCGTGTGGCTGAGGGCACCGTGGGGATGGGCCCAAGCTCCTTTTCTCCATGCTGGAGTTGTTGTGTCCTGCTCAGCTGAACGTCACTGCTGGCTCCAGAGGGACGCTTCCTCAGGAACTGCAGCGACAGGACAAGGAATAACGGGTTCAAAGAGAAAAAGTGGAACTTTAGGTTGGATGTATGGAATTCTTGGCTGGGAGAGTGGTGGCACAGGGTGTCCAGAGAACTGTGGCTGCTCTTGGATCCCTGGAAGTGTCCAAGGCCAGG